TTTCTTATCTACAGTATGCACATCTCCCTGGCATATTACATCATTTATGCAGCAGCATACAATACATTTTAGTGCTCACCTTGTTGTGCTGTGCTCACTTGAACAGGAAGATGGCACGGTGGTACTTCTGGGCAAATTTTGTCATCAAACTTTGTCATCAAAGTCTGGCATTCTCTGGATTTATGGTGCTTTCAAGACAACTGGGAACTCGTAAAAAAACAAGGTTAAATCATGTCGTCAGTGATCTTCAGTTCGGAGCTCTAGAAAGAGGCCCGAGTTCCCGACTTGGAATTCCGAGTTTGATGACCGTTCAAAACGTATTTTCGAGTTCCCAGTTGTCTTGAACTCACTGAAGTCTGACATTTCCCAGTTCCGAGCTTCCAGTTGTTTTGAACGCGGTAGAAGTCATGCTGGATTGACAGCATGGCCAATGTATTCAACCTTTTCTGGCCCATGGCGTGTGAATGTTTATCCTTTTAAGCTTAGAAAAGAGACCCTTAAACCCAGACTTGGACCACACACCCACTCCACTGAATAGTGATTGCTTTGCAATGCTTGCAGTTAGCTACTGAATCCTTCCAAACCACTCATTGTTGAATTTGTGATTTCCAACTTGTTGTGTAACGTTTATGTCCAATGGCCGATGAGCACCGATACATTTAATCTATATTTTCTCTTCATATGACAAGGATTGAAAAGGGTTTGCCAGTAGATTATCGAAGTGATTCACAATGATGACTGCTTGTCTAGCTTGCTAGCTAATATTTTAAAAGTATGATGTTGACATGATCAGTCCAATCAAAGCTACGGTAGATAAAATGTGATTTGAAATCATTTTATCTGTGGCCAATGACCTTGAGCCTTCTTGGATGGGCACTTCTAATGTAACTACAGTGAGGGAAAAAAGTATTTGATCCCCTGCTGATTTTGTACGTTTGCCCACTGACAAAGAAATGATCAGTCTATAATTTTAATGGTAGGTTTATTTGAACAGTGAGAGACAGAATAACAACAACAAAAAATCCAGAAAAACGCATGTCAAAAATGTTATAAATTGATTTGCATTTTAATGAGGGAAATAAGTATTTGACCCCTCTGCAAAACATGACTTAGTACTTGGTGGCAAAACCCTTGTTGGCAATCACAGAGGTCAGACGTTTCTTGTAGTTGGCCACCAGGTTTGCACACATCTCAGGAGGGATTTTGTCCCACTCCTCTTTGCAGATCTTCTCCAAGTCATTAAGGTTTCGAGGCTGACGTTTGGCAACTCGAACCTTCAGCTCCCTCCACAGATTTTCTATGGGATTAAGGTCTGGAGACTGGCTAGGCCACTCCAGGACCTTAATGTGCTTCTTCTTGAGTCACTCCTTTGTTGCCTTGGCCGTGTGTTTTGGGTCATTGTCATGCTGGAATACCCATCCACGACCCATTTTCAATGCCCTGGCTGAGGGAAGGAGGTTCTCACCCAAGATTTGACGGTACATGGCCCCGTCCATCGTCCCTTTGATGCAGTGAAGTTGTCCTGTCCCCTTAGCAGAAAAACACCCCCAAAGCATAATGTTTCCACCTCCATGTTTGACGGTGGGGATGGTGTTCTTGGGGTCATAGGCAGCATTCCTCCTCCTCCAAACACGGCGAGTTGAGTTGATGCCTAAGAGCTCCATTTTGGTCTCATCTGACCACAACACTTTCACCCAGTTCTCCTCTGTATCATTCAGATGTTCATTGGCAAACTTCAGACAGGCCTGTATATGTAATTTATTGAGCAGGGGGACCTTGCGGGCGCTGCAGGATTTCAGTCCTTCACGGTGTAGTGTGTACCAATTGTTTTCTTGGTGACTATGGTCCCAGCTGCCTTGAGATCATTGACAAGATCCTCCCGTGTAGTTCTGGGCTGATTCCTCACCATTCTCATGATCATTGCAACTCCACGAGGTGAGATCTTGCATGGAGCCCCAGGCCGAGGGAGATTGACAGTTATTTTGTGTTTCTTCCATTTGCGAATAATCGCACCAACTGTTGTCACCTTCTCACCAAGCTGCTTGGCGATGGTCTTGTAGCCCATTCCAGCCTTGTGTAGGTCTACAATCTTGTCCCTGACATCCTTGGAGAGCTCTTTGGTCTTGGCCATGGTGGAGAGTTTGGAATCTGATTTATTGATTGCTTCTGTGGACAGGTGTCTTTTATACAGGTAACAAGCTGAGATTAGGAGCACTCCCTTCAAGAGTGTGCTCCTAATCTCAGCTCGTTACCTGTATAAAAGTCACCTGGGAGCCAGAAATCTTTCTGATTGAGAGGGGGTCAAATACTTATTTCCCTCATTAAAATGCAAATCAATTGATAACATTTTTGACATGCGTTTTTCTGGATTTTTGTTGTTGTTATTCTGTCTCTCACTGTTCAAATAAACCTGCCATTAAAATTATAGATTGATCATTTCTTTGTCAGTGGGCAAACGTACAAAATCAGCAGGGGATCAAATACTTTTTTCCCTCACTGTATATGGCAGCACCCAAGGGGCTTGAATTTTCAAGCTCTCCCTGTAGATTTTGTGGTGACGTAGTGTCTCCATGAGTGACAGAACGCTGAGCCAATCATGGTGCAACTAGAGAACATTACCAACCCTTACACTCTGTTTTTTCCGCTGGCTGTCCCACCACCACAGAAAGCACTGAGCTAGGCTGAAACACCTGCATTTTGGAGCTGCCTTAGTCAATAAAGCAAAAAGGAGACCATGTTTGTATGCGGCTTTATTAACTCAATTATTTATTGATTTTATATTGTTTGCAAACTGATATGTGACACGTATAACATGCAAAACAGGCAAAATAAATAAATAAAATAAATATTATTATTATATATATATTTTAAAGCTATACAGGTGGGGCTAAAAACATGTGGGGCTAAGCCTGCCCTGATTGACGGGTCACCGTTATTCAAAAACAACTTAAAACGTTCTGAGAACTCCGTTAGATTAATTCATTGTTTTATCATAAAAAAGCGTGGCAGGAGAAATCTAGCATGCATTAAACTGAGAGTGGCTTAATAGGCCAAGTCATATTCATATCAAATGGAGAGAAAACAGAACATTTGGGCTTCTACAACAATAACACACAGGAGTTTCCGCATTAAAAATAGACTTCGCTATTGGCCCAGATCATCCGACATTCAATAGAGAGAGAAAAACAACAACATATATTCTGACTGGATGTTTTGCGATGCTTTGGTGAGACTCATGGCTCTGTCTACATTGTTCTCTTGCTTTGTGTAAATATAACATATATATTGAAATAAGCTATAGCAAATAAGAATATAGGCAAATTACTCAGAATGTCAACCATGCACTGCTGTGCCTGATCCAATTCTGATCTGAGTAATTGTTTGATATTGTGATTTTTGATTTGTCCATTCGGACAACTGAAATCTATATTCTGGTTGTCCAACTTTTTTTTTTACTTGCCCCGGACAAGCGGACAATCCTTAATGTTGAGTGTCACTCTATATATATAATAATATAATAATATGCCATTTAGCAGACGCTTTTATCCAAAGCGACTTACAGTCATGTTTTTACGTATGGGTGGTCCCGGGGATCAAACCTACTACCCTGGCGTTACAAGCGCCATGCTCTACCAATTGAGCTACAGAGGGCCATATATAGTGACACGAAGAATAATAGTGAATAATGAATAACAATATGAGTAAAAATAACATGGCTATATATATATATATATATATATATAAGTCGATTTTCAGGGGTTTCAGGTAATTGAGGTATCTATATATATATATATATATATATATATATATATATATATATATATAGGAGTGTGAAAGTGTTTGAGTGTGTGTGTGGCATCAGTATACAGTATACATACTTATGTGTGTGTGGGTGTATGTAGTATGTGTGTGTGTATGTGTGTGTTGGGGTGTCAGTGTGTGTGCATAGAGTTAGTGCAAGAGAGTTCACGTGTCCACTATCCACCTTCATAGGTAATTGTCTAAGAGGTTTGGAGGGTAGGTGCTCCATATGTTAAGCAGGCAAGTTAACTATAGTGTATAGCCAAGTTTTGAGGATAAATAATGTAGAATGTAACATACATATCTATACAAATGAAAACAATTATAGAAATCCTATAGGAGAAAAAAAAAACATTGAAATCCTACAGGATCCTATAGGATTCCAATACAAGGATCTAATTAAAATCCAATCCAAAAATCCTGTCAGATTTTGGAACCAGTCATATTGGACTCCTATGGGACTGATCTCTCTGCTAACGCACAGCAAGCGGTACCGATGCACCAAGTCTGGAACCAACAGGACCCTGAACAGCTTCTACCCCCAAGCCATAACACTGCTTAATAGTTAGTTAAATAGTTAACCAAAAATTACCCTGACTATCTGCATTAACGCTTTTTGCACTAAATCTTTTAGGATTTTCTATTGGATTCTAAATATAATTCTTATTGAAATCCCACCGGATTTTTTTGCTAGGGAAAAGCAAATGAAACACAACTATAATGTCACATCAAATATTTAAAAGTACAATGATTGATATAAAATCAATGTGAGTTATCTATATATCATGTTTTTGCATTATAGCAAGGATATTAGCTTATCTAATGCAAGTGTACACTGTTGGGTGTTACATGTATAGTTTAAAGTAGGATAACGCATATCCAGTTTTTGTTACACAGGTGGATATTGTGCCTTTAAACGGTATATTTAGGCTTTTACATTAAGTGAAATGATACAACCACAATATGAAAACATTAAAAGGAGAACTTTCCCTCCAATCTTACTTTATCCTGCCTCGAAAACAATTGTCCTATTTCCTACGGGGGAAAAAGACTCCATTGACCTTGAAAGACAACATTGACCTTGAACTACTCTGAAATAAAATCTAGGTTATCTACACTTAGGAGTATACTGCAGGGCTCACTAATGTCCTAGCGCTTGATTTAGGTGTTGTGACACTCATGCATGTGTGTGAAACTCATGCATGTTGTTGGAGGTCGCAGAGGTAATCATTGGCAAAGTTCATAATCTGAGTTATGGCGTTCAGTATCAGGATGTCCATGTCGTTATCCAGCCTCCCCTCCTCGTGGTAGTTCTTCACTGGCAAGATGCAGTTCATGGGAACGCCCAGCTCATTACTGCAGATCTGCATCTGAGAAACGATGAAGACAAAAGGGCTGGATCAGGTCAGCGTGAGGGATGATCAGGTCAGTGTGAGGAATGATCAGGTCAGCCAGAGGGAGGATCAGGTCAGCGTGAGTGATGATCAGGTCAGCGTGAGGGATGATCAGGTCAGCCAGAGGGAGGATCAGGTCAGCGTGAGGGATGATCAGGTCAGTGTGAGGAATGATCAGGTCAGCCAGAGGGAGGATCAGGTCAGCGTGAGTGATGATCAGGTCAGCCAGAGGGAGGATCTTTGGATCAGTTTAGCGGTAGGGAGGATCTTTGGATCAGTTTAGCGGTAGGGAGATTTTGGATCAGGTCAGCATGAGGGAGGATCTTTGGATCAGTTTAGCGTGAGGGAGATTTTGGATCAGGTCAGCATGAGGGATGATCTTTGGATCAGGTTAGCGGTAGGGAGGATCCTTGGATCAGGTCAGCACAACCAAGGATTAACGGTCACGTTCCAGGCTGACTACATTGCAGATGTTGCATTGCATCAACCAATTGTTGCGTGCCATGTCTTCAACTGTACCTTTGGGCATCAAATTGCTTCATCAAATGATGTGGTCAGCTGATATGTAAAAGCTTATCCAGGCGTTGTGAGATTTGGCAATGTAGTCAGCCTGGAACGTGGCCATTGTGAAATTTGATCAGATCTGAGGTGATTTACCTTCTCTTTGATTGCCTTGCTGTAGTAGATTCTCTTCACATTCCTGTTCACCAGCTCACAAGCCTTGTCTGGCATGGTCATGACAACAATTTGAGGGATTTCTGCCATATAAATATATAAGTAATGAATATAAGGACTAACTTAAGTAACACTGTCATGTAATATTTAAAAGTCAAGAGCTACTACAGCTGAATACCCAACCATAGTTACAGTTACCATTAAGATAAGATTAGAAATGCTAAGAAACATAAAGGGTTTGAAGAGCTTACTTACCCAGTTTACTGGCTTCTGCCCTGATGTGCTTCATCTTGTCTATGACATCCTTATGCATGAGAGAGATTTTGTCCGCTGTCACAATACTCACCAGACAGTGAGTTTTGTCACTTAAACTGGGATTCTGAATGTATTCTTCTTTTTGGTCCGATAATGGGTGGACTGGATTGAACTGGCCAAAAAAATATATGATTTGTCAGATGTTACTACTTTGTTTGCATCTGATTTTCATCTTTGGCTAGCTTGTGTGTGTGTGTGTGTGTATGTGTGTGTTTATGACTTCTGAATTACCTCATAGCCCTCAGGTAGATGGCCCTTCAGAGCATTGATGATGTCATCAGGGTGCAACCCATTTTTCTGTGTCTCCAGACCCATGACATCATTGAATGCAAAGGGCAGACGTTTTTCTCCTTTATGGCCTTGAATGTAATGTGTCTTATACTAAAAAGAAACATTTTATATTAATAACAATTCTTTATTTTTTATTTTCAATGGAAATTATAGATACCCGCAAACTCAGAAACATAAAAAACATCCTCACAATGCCCCGAAATGTGCAAAGTACAAAAAGGTGCACAAAGTTAAGGTGCAAGACTAGCGTTTCGGTTCAGCTGAAAGTACGTAGCTTAACAGTACAATTAAGCAATAAGGCCTGAGGGGGTGTGGTATATGGCCAATATACCATGGTTAAGGGCTGTTCTTAGGCATGATGCAACACGTGGTATATTGGCCATATATCACAAAGCCTTATTACTATTATAAACTGGTTACCAATGTAATTACAGCAGTAAAAATACATGTTTTCTCCTACCTGTGGTATATGTCTGATATACCACAGCTGTCAGCCAATCAGCATCACCCCCCCTCCCCTCCAATTCCACCCCCCCCCCCCCCCCCCCCCCCCCCCCTCTTTTTCCCTCAGAAAAGTCTACATTCGTTGGGCCATGGACTCTACAAGGTGTCGAAAGCATTCCATAGGGATGCTTCCCACAGTTGTGTCAAGTTGGCTGGATGTCCTTTGGGTGGTGGACCATTCTTGATACACATGGGAAACTTAACAGAAACCAGTGCGTCTGGCACCTACTACCATACCCCATTCAAAGGCACTTACATCTTTTGTCTTGCCCATTCACCCTCTGAATGGCACACATCTGCCCCCTTTATTCTCTGTACCCAACGCACTAGAAGACCAGTTCTTAAAGCCTTTAGCCGTATCCTTATTCTAGTCCTCCTCTGTTCCTCTGGTGATGTAGAGGCTAATCCAGGTCCTGCAGCCCCCAGTATCACTCCTACTCCCCAGGAGCTATCATTTGTTGACTTCTGTAACCGTAAAAGCCTTGGTTTTCTGCACGTTAACATCAGAAGCCTCCTTCCTAAGTTTGAGTTATTCACTGCGTTAGCACACTCCGCCAACCCTGATGTTCTAACAGTGTCTGAATCCTGGCTTAGGAAGGCCACCAAAAATTCTGAAATGTCCATCCCCAACTACAACAGTTTCCGTCTAGATAGAACTGCCAAAGGGAGTGGAGTTGCAATCTACTGTAGAGATGCAATCTACTGTAAAAATCCACCTTTCCAGAAATAAGTATCTCACTGTTGCTGCTTGCTACAGACCCCCCTCATCCCCCAGCTGTGCCCTGGACACCATATGTGAATTGATTGCCCCCCATTTATCCTCAGAGTTCGTACTGCTTGGTGACCTAAATTGGGATATGCTTAACACCCCGGCCATCCTACAATCCAAACTAGATGCCCTCAATCTCACACAAATTATCAACGAACCTACCAGGTACAACCCTAAATCAGCCACGCTCAAGGTCCTAAACGATATTATAACCGTGATCGATAATAGACAGTACTGTGCAGCCGTCTTCATCGACCTGGCCAAGGCTTTCGACTCTGTCAACCACCGCATTCTTATTGGCAGACTAAATAGCCTTGGTTTCTCAAATGACTGCCTCGCCTGGTTCACCAACTACTTCTCAGATAGAGTTCAATGTGTCAAATCGGAGCGCCTGTTGTCTGGACATATGGCAGTCTCTATGGGGGTGCCACAGGGTTCAATTCTTGGGCCGACTCTTTTCTCTGTGTATATCAATGATGTCGCTCTTGCTGCTGGTGACTCTCAGATCCACCTCTATGCAGACGACACCATTTTGTATACATCTGGCCCTTCATTGGACACCTCCAAACAAGCTTCAATGCCATACAACACTCCTTCAGTAGCCTCCAACTGCTCTTAAACAGTAGTAAAACTAAAAGCATGCTCTTCAATCGAACGCTGCTGGCACCCGCCCACCCGACTAGAATCCCTACTCTCGACGGGTCTGACCTAGAGTATGTGGACAACTACAAATACCTAGGTGTCTGGTTAGACTGTAAACTCTCCTTCCAGACTCACATTAAGAATCTCCAATCCAAAGTTAAATCTAGAATCGGCTTCCTATTTCGCAACAAAGCCTCCTTCACTCATGCTGCCAAACATGCCCTCGTAAAACTGACTATCCTACTGAACCTTGACTTCAGCGATGTCATTTACAAAATAGCCTCCAACACTCTACTCAGCAAATTGGATGTAGTCTATCACAGTGCCATCCGTTTTGTCACCAAAGCCCCATATACTACCCACCACTGTGACCTGTACGCCCTTGTTGGCTGGTCCTCACTACATATTCGTCGCCAAACCCACTGGCTCCAGGCCATCTATAAATCACTGCTAGGCAAATCCCTGCCATATCTTAGCTCATTTGTCACCATAGCAACACCCACCCGTAGTATGCGCTCCAGCAGGTATATCTCACTGGTCATCCCCAAAGCGAACACCTCCTTTGCCACCATTCCTTCCAGTTCTCTGCTGCCAATGACTGGACGAATTGCAAAAATCTCTGAAGCTGGAGACTCTTATCTCCCTCACTAACTTTAAGCATCAGTTGTCAGAGCACCTTACCGATCACTGCACCTGTACTCAGCCCATCTGAAATTAGCCCACCCAACTACCTCATCCCCATATTGTTATTTATTTTGCTCATTTGCACCCCAGTATCTCTATTTGCACATAATCTCTTTCACATCTATCATTCCAGTGTTAATACTAATTGTAATTATTTTGCACTATAGCCTATTTATTGCCTTACCTCCATAACTTGCTACATTTGCACACACTGTATATATATTTTCTGTTGTATTTTTGACTTTATGTTTTGTTTTACCCCATATGTAACTCTGTGTTGTTGTTTTTATCGCACTGCTTTGCTTTATCTTGGCCAGGTCGCAGTTGTAAATGAGAACTTGTTCTCAACTGGCTTACCTGGTTAAATAAAGGTGAAAAAAAAAAAAAAGTCTCATTTGTCTCAAGGCTTCAAAAATCATTCTTTAACCTGTCTCCTCCCCTTCATCTACACCAGGGTTCATCAACTAGATTTGGCCTAGGGCCAATTTCTTTGTGAGCTAATAGTCGGTGGGCCAGAACATAATCATTATATAATATTAGCACAATGAATTGGCCTACACTACAAATTGAATAAAAGTTTCTTCTATTCAGCCATATATTTTTTTATTGTGAAAGATGCTGTTAAGCCTCATAGCCTACCTCATCCAGTTACATTATTTTATATAGGCCTAGGCTTGGAAGAAATACACTCCAATTAAGCCCTCTTGTTGTTTGTAAAGTCAAATTAAAATGAAGATTATTGTTGAAATGAATGACGCGACTGGTGTAGGTTTTCTCCATCTGTTGCTGTGCTACACTTGCACAGCAAGTTAGCTATATTTTCAGTTCCAGGCGTCATTCACCTCCAATTGTTTGCGCCGCGGTTGCAGCTTTACGTTTCAGCACCACAAATTGGTCCGCTGCCTGCTTTATTAATTGACTGTATCCAGCATTCTCTCTCCTCATGAATGAAGTGAAAATGTAACTTTTGCATTATTTAGGTGGGGTAACTTCCTTCTTGGGACATTGCATTTGTGAGTTTTGGCATCTCGGGTCAGAGATTTTTGAATGATTATGATTATTTTAAATTTCAAACATATTCATAATTAATTTGTGGGGCTTTCAGGGGCCAAATAATATTGCTGGCGGGCCAGATTTGGCCCGCGGACCGCCATTTGGGGAACCCTGATCTACACTGATTGAAGTGGATTTAACAAGTAACATCAATAAGGGATCATAGCTTTCACCTGGATTCACCTGGTCAGTCTGTCATGGAAAGAGCAGGTGTTCATAATGTTTTGTGCACTCAGTGTATATAAATAGACAAACCCATCAATAACGTCACACAATTCATCCCTATGTGAAATTGCAATGGCGCATTTGAAGATCAGGAAGTCGTTTTAGCGTGTTGACATCTTGCTAAAATGGCGCCTCATGGGGGGGATGTTTTGTAAACTAAGTGTAAATGTGTGCTTATGAACCTAGGTTTTGGATTTTTTTCCATGTTTCCAACAATGTGCAGGTATCTATCCTTTCCATGATCCTACTTTTTGAAACCTAGGCATCTGTTGACTGACTACATTTTGTATTAAAGACCCAATGCAGCCGTTTTTTGCTCAATACCAAATAATTTCTGGGTAACAATTAAGTACCTTACTGTAATTGTTTTCCATTATGAAACCAAAATAGCTTTTTAGCAAAAAACTATTTCACAAGACAGAATTTTGCTAGGACTGTCTGGGAGCTGGTGTGAGTGAGGGGCCTGATTGGAGGGCCTAATGGGAGAGATATGTAACCTGAAAACTAGCTGTTATTGGCAGAAAGGTTTGGAACTCTCTTTGTTATTGGTCTATTAACGTATACCGCCTGATGATGTCACCAGGCAATCCAAAACTCTGCCATGTAAAACCTGCTGATTAGAAGGTCCTGTGTAAATTGTATTTTCAACTATCAACTATCAGGAAATAACACTGATCACATTTTTTCACACTTTTACAGTGTTCTTATTATCAGCAGTTGTACAATATGATACAAAACACAGGAACAACGGAATTTAGGCTGCACTGGGCCTCTTTAAAAGAGTACAGAAGACCACTCTATGTTTCTATAAGTCTCTCTTCATGTCTCTGTTCTGCCTGTATGTGGCTCATGAAATGTCTTAGTGTACCAAGGTATATTAGGAAGCCGTTTCCCATCCCTGAATGGTGTAGTTACATTTATTAGGCAAACCAACTTACTTTCATGGTGAAGCTGGTGCCAGTGGCAGCAGATGCCAGGGCATTATGTGTTGATCGTCCTTGGAAAACGTTGTTGACTGAGTTGATGAAGCTGGACTTCCCTGCACCGACTGGTCCATGTAGCAGGCATCTCAGCTGACCCACATCAGGATCACTCAGTTCAAAGTTCCTCAGTGCATTCACCATGGCATCTCTCGCTTGTTTACTATCAGAGACAATGAAGAGTGTTACTTCTGTTACTACTGTTACACATCTCATGGAAGACATACAGTAAGGGTTATAACATATACCATACGCTACAACAGGGATGGGCAACTCCAGTCCTCGGGGACCTGATTGGTGACACACTTTTGGTGACACTTTTGGTCCAGCCCTAGCTGGCACACACCTGACTCCAATAATCAAGGTCTCCAGTTTAGAACACTCCAACAATACTCCATACAAGAAGCTCCAACAAGACGCTACTTATGTTTTCAGTACTAGATTAATTATCTGACCCAAGCAACTACAATACAGCATTTGATCACGTGCAATTATGTCAATGATTTTAATTGGCTGATGCTTGATGCGCATTTTGAGACTGAGGTCAAGATTAAACTTAAACTTTTTCTAATGTTCACAAGTATGGCCCCAATAAGTTGAATCAGGTGTGCTAGCTAGGGTTTGAGGGAAAGTGTGACACCAATCAGACCCCGAGGACTGGAGTTGCCCATCCGTAAGCTACAATAACCAGTGGATGACTGGTGTATTGAATTCATTTTTGTTAGTATTATAATTAAACAATAAGGCCCGAGAGGGTGTGGTATATGGCCAATATACCATGGCTAAGGGCTGTTCTTACGCACGACGCAACGCAGAGTGCCTGGACACAGCCCTTAGCCGTGGTATATTGGCCATATATCACAAACCCCAGAGGTGCCTTATTGCTATTATAAACTGGTTACCAATGTAAATGTTTTGTCATACTCGTGGTCTACGGTCTTATATACAACGGCTGTCAGCCAATCAGCATTCAGGGCTCGAACCACCCAGTTTATAATTAGGGATAGTTCACCCAAATTACAAAATGACATATTGGTTGTCTTAGCCTGTAAGCAGTCTATAGACAAGGTAGGACAGAAATCCATGCTTTGGTTTTGTTTACCTGGCCACTTTGGTTTCCAAATGCTAACTTTTTAGCATTTGTGGCACAAATCCAATGCAAGTCAGTGGTACTGATTTTAGCATATTTTGTGCTTCATGTCCAAATCCTCCTGAAGTATGTAAAATGTATTATGTAGCTCAATTAAGTTACTTATAGATTATTTGGATATGACTAAAAATAACATGACTGCTTACAGGGTAAGGAAACCAATATGTAATTTTGTAATTTGGGTGAATTATCCCTTTAAGTATTGTAATTACGTACAAAATGGGAATTGTATCAATATAACAGGATTTAAAGGTCCAATGCAGCCATTTTTATCTCAATATCAAATCATTTCTGGCTAACAATTAAGTACCTTACTGTGTTTGTTTTCAATTGAAGTGGTCAAAAAGAAACAAAAATAGCTTCTTAGTAAAGAGCAATTTCTCAAGCAAGAATTTTGCTAGGACTGTCTGGGAGTGGTCTGAGTGGGGAGGGGAAAACTGATCATTATTGGCAGAGAGGTTTGGAACTCTCTTTCTTACTGGTCTATTGACACCCCCTAAGGTCTAAGGGCCCGGTGATAGTTTTCTACTAAGCTAACATATGGAATTGTTTTAAGATGGTCATAACAAGGATCATTTAGCTATTAGATGTATTATTTTAGGATCCCTGTAAGTATCCCAAAAATATATAAAACAAGTATTTGATGAAACATTGAATTTGGCCTTACTGCTATTAGACCATGGAAACGCATTGAATAACATATTCACACATGGTAAAACAGATAGTCAAAAAATAAATGATAAGGAAGTTTGTTTTGAATTGTCTGTCCTGTGACAAATGAACAATTTTGCTTAACGTTTAAACTCCCTTTTTTTATTGGTTTTCCGTTAAAACGATAAAAAATATCATAAAATTCCATGTCAACTCACATGCAGAATAATGGTCCTGTTGCGTATGTATGACCACTAGGGCGTGGCAATAAAGTTATATCTACCGCAACCCTTTACAGACATAGAACTGAGCTACAGTAACATGTCGATAGCGACAATTGATAGTTTTTCTGACAATTAAACAAAGCCCGCATCAGAAGCGTCTGTACCTTTTCAGATAGTAGAATTCTGCGCCAGCATAGACTGTTCGTTAACACTTTACTTGACACCCAGCGTCATAACACATTATGACACGGTCATAAACATGTCATAATATGACATAACAGCTGACTTAACGTGGCATAACCTGTTATAATATGGGCATAACTCTATCATGGCCCATATATTTAGACCTGTTGTGACATATATTGCGTTGTTTTATGGCTGATTATGACACCTACACAAGAATGTAAAAACCCACAAAACCTACCACGGCAGTTATTTTATGGCTGGTTATGGCACCTACATAAGAGTGTCAAAACCCACAAAACCTACCACACAAGGCAAAACATTCCATTACACCATAGCCTACATGTCAACAGTATGTTTATGTTTTTAATCTTTTTTATTTATTTATTGATCATGTTAAATTATCATTGTAATTGCTCACACATTGATATCAGACATGCACCTACCCCAATGCTCTGTTGCTGATGACTGGGATGAATGCAGGAGCAGATTTCAGGAGCAGGACAAGAAACCAATTTTTTGACTGATGACTGATATAAGGGCATGTATGTGATAGGCCTATCTGGCTTATATGATTATGATGGTCATAAGGCTTCTTGACAGTGTTAAAGTGTATTTTCATAGTTCAAGTAAAGTGACACAGGATGGTCATAATGCTTCATGACAGTGTCATAAAGTGTATTTTCTTAGTCCAAGTAAAGTGACACAGGATGGTCATAATGCTTCATGACAGTGTCATAAAGTGTATTTCCTACAAGTTACTTAAAATATGATGAAAAAAACATGGCTGGAAAGAATTCATACAACAACAACAAAAGATTTAAGAAAAACTTTCAAACCCAAGTTAAGTTCTTCGCAGGGAAAACAACCAATTTGAATAAATATGGGTTTTGACAATCTTATTTAGGTGTCATAACCAGCCATTAAATAACACAATATCTGTCACAACAGGTGTAAACATATGGGTCATGACAGTGTTATGACCATATTATGACAGGTTTTGACAAGTTATATAACGGGTAGGTCTAATACTGAATGCTGATTGGTTAAAACTGCATTCCAGCAGGTGTCTATTCCACAAGTTACCACCGGCTAAATCTATGACGTTAAAATGCCTACTCTGTTCCATCTGACTGCACAATCCACTGTCTCAGTGGCAGCTTTTCTCAGCCAGTCGAAATCATGAATCAGCATCATTTTGTTGATATATACAAAGAACTATCAATAGAAAACCGATAGAACAAACGACCAGCCAGCTTGGGTAGCAACCCTAGATTTGTGTCGGGACTATATCTTGTGGAAGGATGAAATAGTATGAATACATTTATCAAAATACTGTTTTTAATGAAAATATGTAAATCATAATTTGAATATGTTGGTAACCCGTGCCCTCGGAGTCGGTGTTCGGAGGATATATTGGCACTTCGTCTCCGGCCTAACAACACCCGTGCCAATATATCCTACAAACACCAGTTTTTTATGGTTTGGAGCTATATGTGCTTTCTTTCTACTAAATGTCTTGGCAAGTCATTTAACAAACTTTAAAGTACTTTTTTTTTTAGGAGAGAGTGGTCTGTGCCAGGCAGCTCGAGATGATTTGATTGATAGTCAGTGGGGAGGGAGTTTTTTTGTTTTTTTAATGATGTCATAATTTCCTCAATCAAAGTTTGTACCGACCCTTATGGTACCGACAGATGTAGCCAATTGAACAGCTTATAGAATATGCATGAATGCGGAAGACACATTTCAGTTGAATGCATTCAGTTGTACAACTGACTAGGTATCCCCTTCTCCCTTTCCCTTAAAATGCATCCTCCAATTGCAACGTCTGCCTATGCCCACACATATTGTCTTAAGAAAATGTTACATTTTAATACCCTGAAACACCAAGTTAGGAATAGGCTACCTCATTTCTAAAAGGCCATCATCACTGTCAATCGGGAATGACAATTCTTCACTTTTGAAATGTCCAACTGCATCTCCATGCTAATCATTTGATTGATCTCAATCAGTTTCATGTGAATATGCATTTAGACCTTCTAGAATTACTGTTTTGTGAGCGAATTAGAGCAGACTATTCAGCTTCAGTTTACCATCCTAAAATGTCATTAGAAATGAGGAGGTATTTTTGGTGGAACAGTAACGTTATAGGCCTGCTATGCTATGGTATTATATTAGGTTCTCTTATGTAAAATGCTAATTAATAATTATGTGACCTTACGAGACATTGATTCAACTTTGATCTAACTTTACTAAACGAGCACCATTGTGAGAAGTGATAATCTTCTATTTGTAATAATAATAATAATAAGGGATGAGTATGACTATTAGGCGTAGGCAACGGATCTTGATGAGATGTCATTTTAAGCCATAGGAATGCCCTTCGTGGTGCTGAAAGGACAGCGCCAGGATCACTCAATGATGTTAAAGAAGTTGAACCAACTTGTGGTGCTAAAGGATAGCTGAAGGATAGTTCTGCCATTCGGTCAGTTCAGGAACGAACAACAATCATTTTGCAGTAGGCCTATAGCCTAAAAGGCCTACGACTACGTGGTATAGCTACAGTGCCTTCAGAAAGTATTCACACCCCTTGACTTTTTCCACATTTAGTTGTGTTACAGCCTGAATTTAAAATGGATTAAATTGAGATGTTTTGTCACTGGCCTACACACAATACCCCATAATGTCAAAGTGGAAGTATGTTTATTTAATTTAATTTTTAAAAAATTTACAAATTAATTGTAAAATGTCTTGAGTCAATAAGTATTCAACCCCTTTGTTATGGCAAGCCGAAATACACTGCTCAAAAAAATAAAGGGAACACTTAAACAACACAATGTAACTCCAAGTCAATCACACTTCTGTGAAATCAAACTGTCCACTTACGAAGCAACACTGATTGACAATAAATGTAACATGCTGTTGTGCAAATGGCATAGACAACAGGTGGAAATT